CCTCCCAACTCCAGAAGACTTGAAGGCTAGTCCAAATGTCTTGGACCATGAGTGAAACCCGAGAAAGGAAATCATTAGTTTGGAGGGCAGAACGGAAAGACAGAGGCCTGGGTCCCCAGTAACACCAGGGCACCAGCATGCCAGCCACAGAGTACCCACCTCCAGGCAGCACTGGTGAGAGAAAAATCAACTTCCATCTTGGCTAAGCCACTCTCATTTCCAGTCGATTACCAGTAGCTGAACCCAATGCCAAGTTGATATACGTAATTTTCTTTTCCACATACAAATTAGGTCATGAGAGAAATCTTGTTGTGCAACTCAACTTTTTTCATTAACAGCATCTTAGTGTTCTACAACTTAACTTTTTTTTTAATCAACAATGTATCTTGGACATCTTTCATTTAACAGCTATTGATGGCCATTTAGGTTATTTCCAGAAGTACTCCTCAATGAGGGTACTTGTATATACTACCTTTCTTCAGAGCTACACAAGAATATTTGTAGGATGCAGTCTTAGAATTCCTAGGTCAAATCTTCATTTTTGATAGAGAGCATGAATGGCCTTCCTGAAAGGCTATACCACTTAACACATCTGCCAGCACACATAACTTCACCAACAACTAGGAATTATTTAAATGCTCTAATTTATGCCAATATTATCAGGCCTGAATATTTATAATAAGATTTTTTTTCATTTGGTGTTTTTCTCTCTTTTTTTTCAATGGAGGTACTGGGGATTGAGCCCGGGATCTCAAGCATGCTAAGCATGCACTCCACCACTGGGCTATTTCCCTGCCCCTGGTGTTTTCATTTCTGACAAGTAAATAAAAATTAATGCAAGAATCAGAATAATTTGTATTTCAGAGAGTCCATTTACATTCTTGTCTGAGATTCCGTCAATAGCAAAAAGAAATGAAAGGGCAGAAGGAAAGAGCAGAAAAGAATTAAATAAATGACATATTCTGGCCAAGGGAAGGCCAAAGGATGTCATAATGACTTAGTCAATGAAAAGTTTCACAGAGAAAACTGGTGAGAGAAATGAGGGACCCCACGACAGGTGGTGGACAAAGATACCAGTCCAGAAGCACCAGGGCTGCTGCATTCACTGCCACCTTTCGAAACAGTAACAAAGATTCAGCAAAATATCTCCCACGTTCACACTGTGTATACCTAATTATTCACAGAGGAAATGATATACCTGGGAGTTGCTTCAAAATAGCCCAGAAGAAAAAAGTTAGGAGCATGCAGACAGCTGAAGAGCGATTAGCCAACATAGGTAACATTGAGACTGAATGAGGGCACGAGGGAGGTCCTACCAGTACAAACTGTTCTTTGATGCAGATTTGAAAATGACCATAATCAAAAGTTTGCAAAGTTAATATTAATGGAAAGCACGTCTGCAATGGCCGAGTAAGGAAGGGACTCTGCAGGTCCACTCATCCATAAAAGCAACAAGAACACTCACAAGAAAGAACTCTCAAAATCAACTTTTACAGAATCCTGAAAATTAAAGAGGCTTCCAAAGACAATGACTGGGGCTCGGCAAGGAGAGCCAGCCCGGCGATGTTTTAACTTGTCCTGACCCATCCCTTTCCTCCCTAGCTCGGTGGCAGCCTGGAAACCCACGGCCTCACAGCTGCAAGAGCTGTGAAAACCAGCAGCCCGGGAGCCGCCGGAGAGGACAGAACAGGTCTGGAGCCTCCCAACCGCCCCACGGCCAGAGGACTGTCAGCGTCTGACCTGCCTGGCGACTCGTCTGGAAGCTGCACTCTCAGGCCTTCTCTGCACATAGCCTGACTCAGCTCCCTGGACAAACAGACCTAGAGCCAGGGGATTCACGGAAACCAGTCACCAGGGGCAAGTGTTTTAACACCACAGCTGCCACAGACACATTACCACCTGGACCTAACAAAAGGCGAATTAAAAAGCAGAAAAGGAAAATAAGGGGTAGACGATGTCCTCACGAGGCTTTGATAAGCTCTGAAACACTCCAGGGAACATACAAGGTCACACGCGTGAGGGCTGTGCGCGCACTCAGGAAGGAACCGGAAGGGCCTAATCCCTCACGTCCGGCTAATAACCGTGAGACCCTACGCAAACGAGACGCAAAGGCTAAGGCAGAGTTGCAGGTGGCACTGAAGGCAGGCCCCCCAGCACACACTCAGGGGCCCTCAGCAGAGGCCGCCAGACTAACGGTTCAAAGCGTTTAAGGACATCTCTGTCCAATCACTAGCTGACCACTTCTGGTCAGTACTTCAGTGGCCATACCCAGCGAAGGACACGAACTTCACAAAATTAATGCAGGAAACGCAAAAACAATACAAAAAAAAATGCAACAGCAATAATACTGACAAAAGGCAACAACAAAAAACCCTGGAAGGGGTTATTCTGATATGAGAAGTTGCCACATTGTATCACTTAAAATGTCCGGTTTTCAACAACAACAACAACAACAAATGATAAGCAAACAGCAAAGTGTGGCCCATACACACACACACACACACACACACACACACAGCACACA